AGTTCCTTAAAGTACATATCTGAAGTACAATTATACATTCACACTAAGCATAAATAGATTATGCACCGCAACCGGAAGTTTACTTTTATTTCCTTACAAGGAACATATGCGATCATATTAATTAATTTTAATTAAGTTTATTCTTGAAAGATCTTTCATTTGCATTAATGTTTGAATACAGAATTTAAATGTCATTCAGCAAAAATCATAACATTTTTGTTAATGTTGTTGTTTGATTTATATGTGATAATGGAAAGTAAGAAAACAAAGAGAAATTAGTTTTCAGAGATCTATACATCTATTTAGTGGCCTAAGTATTCATGTATTTTATATCCCTGTCAGCAGTGGAAACCTAGAAATCATTTATATGAAGATAAATAACAACATAAAGTTAGAATTGGAAAAATTATCTCTTGAGTATTCAGTTTTCTTTAAACTAGTAATGACTGAATATCATTATCAAAATTTGGTGGGTTAGAATTTTAAATGGCATGGTTTTGTGGTCTCAGTTATTTTCCTGCTTGCTAAAGTCTACACTGTATAAATTATTATTTCAAAGGCCAATCTGGTCAGCAGTTTTAAACAGAGAAGCCACAAACTGGAGACTTTCACTAGCCTGCATTTGATCTGACCAGGATTGGATCATAAGATGTGTGACTTAGCATCTTGTTTTATTTTATTTTGCATTATTTTGCCAGAATATATTTATTAAGTAGGTGAATAAAAATTTCTGGTTTTCAGTGTGTTTAAATTGAAGATTTCAGAATCAAAACATGATTTTTAAAGTTAACAGAATTTGAGAAGAAAAGACCATGTTAAATGAGAATCAGCAAGTCAGAGACCTGATGTTAAATATAGAAGTGACTATAGGAAAAAATATATTATAGATATTGCAATGAATTTATAACTTCTTTGCTCTGTGTGGCTGTGTATGAATATATATATATTCCTCTACCTCTCATAGAAACTTTTCTTTTTAGCTGTGAGGAGATTATCAGTATAAGACATATTCCATATTATACAATCATGGGAATACTTGAGATATCCATGAGGACTTTTCATGGGACCCAAAAGATCACACCCATTCTAAAATAAATAAATCGGGGCACCTGGGTGGCTAAGTGGGTTAAATCCTCTGCCTTCGGCTCAGGTCATGATCCCAGGGTCCTGGGATCGAGCCCCGCATCGGGCTCTCTGCTCCTCAGGGAGCCTGCTTCCTCCTGCTTCCTCTCTCTCTCTGCCTGCCTCTCTAACTACTTGTGATTTTGTCTGTCTAAAAAATAAATAAAATCTTTAAAAATAAATAATAAATAAATAAATAAATAAATACATAATTTAAAATATGAAAATCACTGTAAAACAGTAATAATTTTGTTGCAAAGAATTCATAAATTTCACAACCTGTAGGTTGCCAATATTACTTTTTCTCAGCTATAAGACATTAACATGAAGTTTGGTCATTCAAATATACTCATACTCATATATATACACATATATATGTTTGTATGCATGTATCTGTATGCTTTGGTAGAAGTAAAGAAAAATCTCTGAAAAGTCACCAAATTTAATTAGTAAATCATTATTCATATTAATGAAATCTGAAGTGATCATAACATTCTGAGTAATGAAAAAAAAGCTTTTGTAAATGTTTTTTCATAATTTTTAGTTAAACACTATCTTCTATTATCAGAAAGATATTGTGTGAGACTTTTGATTTAACTGATAGTCTCATTGTAATAATTCTAAGTCTCGGTGTGGGGGGGTAGAAAAGCTTTGCAAAGTATGAAAAGAAGGCCTTTAAAACAATCATTTAGGTGCTATTTACTAAGTCTTCCCTATGAAAGTAAAGTTAAAGGCATCGACTTAACCTTTGGATTCACATGATCACCATCACATTCCGACTTGCATGTGTCTTTGATTTCTACTAAAACTGAAGCACACAGTGTCCTGGAAAAGCTCATCACACTGAGTGATGGAACATTTGTCATTTGTTTAAAACCCTAAACCTAATTTATTTCCTTGTGATTTCCATAGGTTTTTCTGAAGTCTTCATTGTACCACACATTCCAAAAGGAAGATTATATGATAGTCTGGTTTTTCATGAGAAAAGTGAAATTTGACTAGTTTTGTAGAAGAAATAAACAGTTATGCATCAGTTTTAAAGAGAAACATTTTAACATTTAGCTATATTATATATATTTAAGGAAGGCAAAAGTAACTCTGAGTGGATGTTTCTTGAGGATAATTTGTATGTGACTGCTGAGATTTACAGAGTTCTCACATTTGCTTCCCCCACAAGGATTCTAAATCAGATTGGTTCAGAGGAAAAGCCGGCATACCCCATTTTTCTAATATTATCACTTCTCCAGATGGTCCTGAACACATCTATTCAATCCCTTTTTCCTAGAAAGTAAAGAGGTACCTTATTAGGTATAAATGTATATCCACTACAAAGACTCCCTTCTTCTTCTTTTTCTTTCTCATTTAACATATCAAATCTCTTTCTTTTCCTACTAGGCAAGATGACAAGTAGAAAGTAAGCACAGTGATTGCCTGTTAACTTCATCTTAGCAACCTGAGCAACGAGAGAGTTAATGGTGGATCTTTGAAAACAAGTGACCATGGGAAATTAGGGTTGGCAGGGATTTAACTCTTCGTGAATCATGCTGGAATATTTTTAAGGGCCAAGCAGTGGAGGTTTTAACCGTGTTTGACATCTAATTAAGGAGGAAAAAGAAGTAGCTAAAAAAAAAAAAAAATCTCTATTATAGTTTAGAAACAAAGTACTGACAATTGGCTACCAGGCATTTGCTTTGGCAAAACATGTAGAGACAAAAAGGTAATGACAGACCAATAAAATGACAGAAGAAAAATTACTTGGGCCATTCCTTTTCTTCTTCTTCTTGTTCATTTCACAGTTTATTTTACCACATAGCCAAGCCCTAGGTATTCCAATAGAATTGTTATGTACACGAGGGGCAGTTTTTGCTTAAAAAAAAAAAAAGTTTATAAAGACAGCGTCCAATAGATACACATTGTCAATGTATACAAGTTTAAAGCCTGTACACATATCAAAGTACTATTCCAATTGAATGCTATCTGTTTAGTGTATGGAAAGGAATGGCACCTCTTCTACAATGGAGAGTAATCTATTACCATGGAAATAAAATTCTTGCAAAATAAATATAACTCTCAATTCTTGTTTATTTTACAATTTATTTAGGATTTAAACAAGTACCTCCAAATCTAGTAGATTTTTAAAAGTGTGTTTCATGCTTCAAATCTGTTACTCTAAAATTATAACATAGAGCCATTGGCATCTTCAAGAAGTAAAGTTGCATGTGAAACTTACTTATAAGGCATATAAACTTGGATAAAATCGACCATCAACCTAAGTATTATTTGATGGCATCCTCTCCAAGAATGAAGATGGAAAGCAAAAACTGAGGAAAATACAGATGCCATAATATCATATACTCTAAAAATAATTTAAAGGCAGTTACTAGAGATAGAGATTTAATTAAATATGTAATAGGGGCTGTATAATTTTTTAAAATCTTGCACGATAAATACAACTGCAATTCTGTTTGCTGATGTTTTCAATCCATTCTCACTTTCATCATAGGAAACTATTATAGGAAAAATAAATGTATCTTTCAACCCAAGGTATTTAATCTAGCAAGTATTAATTCCAAATAAACACATTTAATAGGTGTTGAATTTTCTAATCCAAAGTGTGAAAATTACATCTCTCTTTCCTATTGGTGGTCCTCATTCACACTACAGCATTCAGAAAGAGATGTTCCCCATCATGTGAAAATAAAGAATATGTTTCTGGCATAAAAGCAGTGTGCAGTAGACAGACATCTCTACAGACAGATTCAATGATTTTCTTTCACATTATAGACTAAAAACAGAATATAACTGAAGCTTCCTCCTGACCCACCCCCAATTCCCGAAATCTGAGAATCATAAGAAAGCAACACCTTAGGGAGTAAAAGTACTTGAGTTGAAACATTTTAATCTCCAGCTCCATTTTCCTAATATCTCGGTTACATAAACATTCTCTTTCATTAAAAGTTTTATATATATGTAATTTTCAATCTATGTTAGCATTATTTGATATACATATCTATAAAATCTATCTAAACAAATACAGAACAAATATTTTCTTTAAAGTCCTCATTAAAAACCAAGCATAGGCATTAAACTGTAACCAAATAAAGTACCAGCAACCATGTGATAAAGCTTTTTTCTTTCTTAAATTTACACTCTTTTTGAAGAGAAGTTCACACAACTAGCTGTACAACCAGAAAGTAATGTCCCTTCAATTCTCACTGAAATACATATGGAATTAAATAACATTATATTTCAAAGGCTTTAGCTTTACACCAATTAGCCAAATACACAGTCTTTTGTACAATCATAACACACTGTGGAAAAACTAGTCTGTTCCCTCCAGTTTATATTCTCTTGGCAAACCATGATCTACTGCTTATGTTAAGCATCTGATTGTCAGATTTGAACAAACTGAATATTCATGATGACGATTAACCATTTAGTGCCTAAAACTAAGAAAATACAATTTGTCATAACAATTACTACAGGTGAGGCACTCATCTACAAAGAGACTATTTTTTGCAATAGCCATTTTTTAAAAGATATTTTCATAGAAGTAGAGTCAGAAAAATTAACAGAACATATGATCACATATACAACTCAGCATTTACCAGGCATTCAGCTCTTCTCTGCAAATGTGATTAAATGTTCTTTGTTTGCATTTAAATTGTCGTATATCAAACAGGAGACATGCTTTCAGAAAAAAGTGTTTAAATCATCTCAGAAAGATATACACAATCACATGGGTTTCCCAGGTTAAACTCAAGGTTTTATGGTTTGGGTTGGGAGGGAGTTCAAGGAATGAAAAGGTTGGGGTGCGGGGGGGCGCGGGCAGGGGGCATTACAAAGCTAGCCGAAATAAAAGAAAAATAAAGATTTACCTTTGTAGGATAATTTCAGCCTTGGCACGTTGTTCTTCCCATTTTGATAGTTTGCTCTCGCTGTAAGTAACACTCCCCAGAAAAGAGAGACAATCCTAGCGAACCAGCCCATGCTGCAGACGCTGTAGGTCCCTAGGCTGCTTCAGCCTTCCCTCCTGTATTGTGCGGCCAGAGAAGTTCAAACAATCTGGAAACTGGAGGTAACAGGTGATTTAGGTCAGTTTCATTCATAAATGCAGACAATCAAGACCTCACGGCAACACTAACACCTCTTCTTCTGTAATAGTCACTGAAGCCCAGAAACTTCAAACCCTCCAAAAAAAAAAAAAAAAAAAAAATCGAGCCAGGCACCAGATAATGAGGCACAACTGTTGTGTGGAAAGAAAAAAAAAAAAAATTAACAAGGGCTGCGGCAGTGGTGCTTAAGAAGCAGTTCCTTTTATCTAGGCTCTTCTGATAGCCGGTGGCGGACTCTAATCCTGCTCTCTGCTTCATTCAGCTCCGGGGAAGCAGAATGAAAGGGAAACAGAGAAAGAGAGAGAGAAAGAAAGAGAGAGAGGGAGAGAGAGAGAGAGAGGAACCGTGAGCAGCGCGGACTTTTCCTGTACACATGTAGGGAGAGATGACACAAGATCCCACAGACAGGTTTTCCCAACACTCACTAGACTGGCTGACAATGGGAGAACAGGCGAGCTCAACCCACTCCCCTTCCCTCCTGTCACACAACACATGCAAAAAACATCTCATAGAGATTAGAGCTGGGAGCAGAACCCTCCAGCGTGCCTGTGAAAGGCATGTAGCTATAAATTTACTTCCCAAGGCACGCGTTGTTTTATAGCCATTTTTAGGTGCAATTTTGATTAAAAAAATCTGAAATCTGCTCCCTACCTAATTTACAACTGATACTCATGGTATAATTCCTTTGAACTAGTGTGTTATATGTGTATATGTATGTATCTATATATACATATAGATACACACATATATTCATATATGTCTATATGTATATCTTTTTCACCACTATAACTTTAGCCATTGAAGGTTTTAAAGCCTTGTTAGAGATCATTCCCTCTTCCCAACAAACCCCCTTGGCTCAACTACCCCCTTCCCCCGCCCCACTGCAATTTCAGTGAAGAAATTCCTAGTAAAGCCCATTTCAACAATCAGTTCAAGACAAATATAGGTCCACTGAGAATTATAAATTACAACTCAAAGGGATACTCAGAATTTAAAAACATCTATGGTTTTTCAGCTTCTGGAATGCTCTGGCTAACATTTGTAATGCATCACATCTCATTAATTAAAGCCACTTCCCTAGTTTTGGTTAAAGGGCAGAGGAAGATGACAAAGTTCACAAAAGTCCCTGCTGAGTGTCAAGGACCAACATAAAGAGGATATCTCTGTGTCTCCATGAGCTGGCGAAGGGTTACTAAATTTTTTGTGCACACGAGTGTGTATGTTCAGGGAGTCACACAGACACTCTCAGTTCTTTCCTAAAGAGACATTGTGTCTGAGGTGTTTCAATTTCTCTCCTATTTTTCTTTTGATTTTTCTCCAAAGCTGATATTCTTATAGGATTTGGGGGGTTGGGGAGATATAGAAGTTAATAGGACAGAACTTTCCCCTCTTTACTCCTCAACTCTCTCTGCCCTACCTGCCCCCCATACAACACACACAATTGAAATACAGAAGAGAGACCCCTACTTCAATAGTGTGGGAATTTCTCAACTGAAAGAAGAGGGTGAGTCTCCCAATTACAAATGTAAACACTTACTGAAAGTGACTTACTTAGTAATCTTTCGAAAAAAGATCTAAGCATCTGTCACTACAGCTTTCGTGACCTCATGACTTGATGTCTACAGACCAATAGGGAAAAAATATCTCCCTCCACTCCCTCCTTCTGTCTGTCTCTCCGTCACTGTCTCTGTCTCGTCTCTCTCTCACTATCTTTGTCTCTTCGTGTGTGTGTGTGTGTGTGTGTGTGTGTGTGTGTTTGGGTGGGTGGAGGAGGAGGAGGAGGAAGAGGATGAAGAGGATTTAAAGGAGGGAGAATGGGGGAAGGGGTGGAGGGATTCTCTCTACTTCACTAGATTGATTCATCAAGCTGACCGTATTGTATTTGTCAGTTTCCGCAAGCCTATTGATCAGTCAGTATTGTTAAGAAAATAAAATCCAAAAATAATGTTATCCCACACTTGTTATCCTGAGCACTTTTCACGCTCTGGGCAATGGATTAAGGCTACAAACGACAAGAGGCTTGCCTGTCTTCCATGGATTACTCTCTATAGACATTTATTCTACAGAGGAAGTCATGTTACTTGGGATTATTTAGAGGACTGGATTAATGAATTATCCTTTTGAAATATCACATATAATCAGTTTGAATAATTTAAATAGTTGCACCATTTTCATTAATATATATATTAAATGTCTTTAAATATTTATTTTTTCTCTAGCTCTCGGTACTAGGTAGGGGAACAAGTTTATATTTGTCAAAAGTAAGCAGAATAAGCAAATTTAGAAATGGATCCATTTCACTTGCATAATGTCTAATTCTGAAACATTATGATGTGTTCCAGGAAAAATGAAAGGTTGTAGGTAAAATTCAGATAAAAGAGGATCAGAATTGACTCCATGGGGAGGAAAGATATTCAATCTGGATTTTGAACCACAGAATCAGGACAAAGTTATTTAATTTTGTAAAACAAGTAATTTAAATTAATGTTGAAGTCTGGAATTTGGTAGCACAGACACCCCATGTTTAGAAACACATACATAATTGAAAAAAAAAAACACTTTCATATACTTATCTGTATTTGATATTTTTCTTACCCTCTAAATTTTTTATGATCTTTGTGTCTTTTCAAATTTTTGAAAGCTTAATAAATTCACCTTCACATATCCTTATCTGTGGGCTTTTAATTTAAGAAGTATGAAAACAGTAAATTCTTTGGGTAAGCATAACTGTGTTCGACTGATTAAATTATAAAATAATAGAAAAGTGTAGCCATGCCATAGGTATTTTAAGTGTAATTAAAAAAAAAAAAGAAAAAGAAAAAGAAAAACCACATGCCTAAAAAAATACAAAAGTATTTGCAACCTATATTTCTACCTCTATGGAAGTCTTTGACTTTCGTCAGGGTTCAAGTTGTTTTCAACTTTTTTCTTATACTTCCAAACACGTAAGGAATAATGAAGTTTAAACACACTTCTCAGCTGAGGTAGGAACAAGTAGGGTTGGATCTGTGTGGGTGTTTATCAGAACTTTTCAAAATCTGGCTGTGTGTGTGAAATGGAAAATTTTGACTCACCCCCTAAGGAACATCACTCCCTGCTCTGATGGTCTGTGGCCTAAGCTCCAGCATGAGCAAGCCTGCCCTATTTGTCACCTTAGCCATTGATGTTAGTGCATCATTTACTATTCCTTAAAAGTCAGAAATAATATACTGACCTTTTAACATTAAATTTTATTTAAGGCATAAAGGAAAAATATTATTATTTTTTTTTTCAAAGTAGTCTATGTTCAATGATTCTCTAACTCACAGTCTATGTCATGTGCTATAATTAACTTGACTTGCAGTTGAATCCCTAATATCTTTTTAAATTTCAAGTTTTCAGATGTGATCAGCTCTTCCTACAGAGTCAAATTTGAGCAGGTGCTTACTATGATGATCATGCTGTTGTATACCTTGCTGTCACATAAATCAGAAGTTTTTAACCTCACCCTACTCCATAGTGAGATGGATTACAAAGACTTTTGAGTGAGAGTGACAGTTTTCTGGGTGGTGTGCTTGATTTTCTAGAGAAACAACACTTCCAACTTCTCAACAGGTTGGTTAAGTTTTGTTTTTCCCCCAAAGACCTGTATGGTCACAGAAGATACATATTAAAGCCTTCCTCCAAAAACGTATTTTTGACCTCTGCATGTATTGGATAAAACCAATGTGGTATTTTTTTAAATGCCCAATCTCTGTATTTTATTTATATAAAACAAATTGGGATGGCAACCAATACTGTCATTAAAGAGCAGAAATGATTGTTCTAACTTAGGAGATGGTATTCCAAGCACTTCCTCAGGTTATAGATACCCTATAGATCTTACTGGGTAAGAGAAAACTCTTCCTATATTTGTGCATAAAATAATATAAGGAGAAATATAACTTAGATGTATGTAAAACTTTAGTAGATTAAATATACCTGAAGTTATGGTACTCTTTGATAAACACGGTTGCCTCTCCCTGTAATCTCATTCCACCTGTTTTATTGTGCTTGGTTAGAGTACTGCTCCCAAAGTGTGTGTCTCTGACAGAAGGAGATGACCTCTTTAAGAGAAATAACTGAGTTCAGAATTTTAGACATGAGCTGGTTAGCCAGTTCCCTTTAAGAAGCAACACCAAGAAGGAAACTGATACTAGAAACAGACAAATTTTTGGTACCCTCTCCAAGGTGTTATTCAACTGAGTCACGTAAAAAAAAAAAAAAAAAAAGGCAAAAGAGAAAACCCCTGATATTAGTTTCTATCTAACATCTGCTATTTCTTACTTTTTTTTCTTTCTTCAAGGGATGCTTTACTGCTATATGAGAAAGGCCTGTGATCAACAGAATTATAGCAAATGTCATAGTCTAACATTTGTCCTTGCTCTGACATCTCATGTTGGAAATTCATTTTTAATGAGGGTTTTTCTGGTACAGGGAATTTGAAACCTTTTCTTTTTCTAAAAAAGAATTGCGTGGGTGAAAACATTCTTTAGAAGATCAGAAGACATCTTATTAATTGGGCAAATTAAATAGTTGATGCATTATTTGTTCTAGCCAAAAATGATAGATTTGAGAAGAACTGTAGTAGTCACTGGAAGCTGGGGGTGGCAGGTTAAAAGCAATATTTAAGAAATTAAGTTAAACTTTTCAGAATCTGACCCTTGTGAATGCTTTTAGTATAAGCAACATGTGAAAGCATGAGTTGAGAGGAGGAATTGGTAAAAGGCAAAGGCAATTCACTCTCTAGGGAAGCATTAACTCTTCCCTTGTTCTTTAACTCCCCTTCCCCACCCCCCAACCCCTACCTCTACACTCCCCACCCCCAATGGAGATTTCAGGAAAATAAGCTCATCCTTCCCCTGGAATAATTTTGTAACAGCTTGGGAAAAACAACAACAACAACAACAACAACAACAAAAACTGTTTTGTGTTTTCTCTTGTGACATCAATGTTCATGATACTTTAACACAAATAGAGACTTAAAAGACTCCTTATTTTTCAAATGAATTGAAGTGACAAATGTTAGATCAATGCAGGAGACCAGAAACTGGGCAGTTAGATTACTTGTGGCTGCATATTTCAAGAAGAGTTTAGACAAGAAAGGGTATCAGGAATTATAGAGGAAGTTTATGAATGGTTAAGGTGAGGTGGTAGCTTCTCTTTCTTTGAGAATCTGATTCCTGGGGCTGAGTAGGTGAGTTTCATTGGGTTACCAAATTTGAATGGGGGATGGAAAAGAGTGACAAAAAAGGATGAATTAACATTGTGTTTATGGTTAGTATCAGAGCTGCCAGAAGTGGCTAAAATCCAGTTATTAGAAACATGAATGA